ATTCATTCATTTTCTTTTCAGCTTAGTCCCTTTATTATTCAGGGGTCGCCACAGTGGAATTAACTGCCAACTTAACCAGCATATGTTTTATGCAGTGGATGCCCTTCCAGCTGCAACCCATCTCTGGGAAACATCTTCACTCTTATTCACACACATACACTACAGACTATTTAGTTTACCCAATTCACCTATAGCGCATGTGTTTGGACTGTGGGGGAAACCGGAGCACCCAGAGGAAACCCATGCCAACACGGGAAGAACATGCAAACTACACACAGAAATGCCAACTGACCCAACTGGGACTCGAACCAGCGACCTTCTTGCTGTGAGGCGACAGCTCTACCCAATGCGCCACTACACCGCCCAAGTGTTATTTAAATTAAATGTAAAACACAACTTATTTGACCCAACGTTGGGTTACAACAACCCAGCACCTTTCCAAGCGCGATAGATCCAGTATATTCATTCAGTCGGCTTATGTGTGAATGTGTGTGTACTGTATGTGTGAACAGATGTCAGTGTGTTAGTGTGATTAATGATGAGAGAGAGCTAAAACAAGACACTCGTTCATCTCTCCATCTCTCACTCCACTGATCTTTACACAGTCAAGTTGAGATTGCTTGTCATTCCTCTGTAACAGTAACCACTGTAACGGTAACCGTGGATGCTGAAAACAGGGAACGCGGATCTAAACGCAGGGTTTATTAAATGGAACGGTCCAGCAAGCAACAGTCAACACAGGAGCAAACAGATGTATACGGGCAATCCAGAATCGTGATCAAAGTAACAGGCGAGTGGTCAGAAGGCAGGCAGCAGACAGGGATAAACAATAAAACAAGGCTAGGATGAAAACACGGCAAAGCAAGACAAAGGAAAATGCGTCATAATGTTTACCTAACACATACCTGTCAACATTGGGATGTGAAAATAAGGGATACGCCCACCATAATAAGTGATTCCCCCCTCCCCCACCTCAAAACAATCCCCAAATTACTAAATATGTTCACTTACAGCTGTTTCATTGTACATAAACAGTTAAATGGTCAGTAATATGTTTTATTATTATTATTATTATTATTAACAAAATAAAAATAAAAATATACATTAGCAGCAAATACATTAGCAAACTGCAGCTTATTAATATTAATAGCTATTATAATGAAATAGAATCAAGCTATCAATTTCATTTGCCGTTTCTCCACTGTATAACTTACACATTCTGATTGAAGAGCAACGAATGAATCTCTCATTTATTACGATTTTTTTTTTATTACATTGAATAAGAGGTGTCAATTTAAAAATGCAGAATGCTTTCCTAACCTTTTATGCTTATTTAAGACGAAATTAGTTGTGTTTGGGGGGAAAAAAAAACACCAAAATCGACATCCTTATATGTTAGTATTATTAATTATGTTTGTATAATGCCAGACTTTCTCTCTGCTTCAAATCGCGTGTACAGAATCCGTTTGGGAAACAGCGTCTGTTTATCACTATGGAGCACGTCAGCTGACAGTCATGCACCATTATATGACTGTTTTGAGGATTGTATAGGATGGGTGACGGCACCTGTAATAGAAAGGAAAGGGAATCGCGCTGTTTTTAATATTTATTTATAAGTGTTTTCATTCCTAAACAAACCGAAAGCACAGAAGACTCACGTCTCAGAGCAAGGGGCAACCCCTGGTGGTTCGGCGGTATGGGTTGTGCATAGGGAGGCTCGGCTGTTCAGAGAAAGACTGAAAATACGGGAGAAATACGGGAAAATATCTTTACGGGATGAAAGCGGGATAGAACAGTGAAATGCAGGAGAATCCTGAGAAAAACGGGAGGGTTGACAGGTATGACCTAACAGTTTAACAAGACTCAGCAATGAGTGTCTCAAAGTAAGTCGTAGCCTATATACAGTTTACATACACTGGATAAAAAGGCACATAACCATTTAAAAAACATTGGATGTTAACGTGACTAAACTTTTTCTCTTTTAGGCAAGCTAGGATTATCACATTTGTTTCTGTTATGCTTAATAGCAGAATAATGAGAGAGATTTATTGAGAAATTGTTATAACTTTTCTTGAAAGTCAAGTTTACATACAATAAGATGTGTGAAAAAGCTCTGATGATGATGTCAAGGTTGTGTAAGTTTCTGATTGGCTAATTGATAACATTTGAGTTAATTAGAGGCTCAACTGTATAGAATAGTATTTAAGAAAAACCTCAAACACACAGCTTCCTTGTGTGACAATATGGGAAAATCAACAAGCCAGAATCAAAACAAAAGCCAGATTACAATTTGCTAAATTACACTGGGAAAAGACTAATTTGTGGAGACATGTCCTGTGGTCTGATGGAGCTAAGATTCAACTGTTGGGCCATAATGACCAGTGTTACATTTGGAGGACAAAAAGGAAAGCTTACAAGCCTAGGAACACCATCCCAACTGTGAAGTATGGGGGCGGCAGCATCATGTTGTGGGGCTGTTTTGCTGCAGGAGGGACTGTCCACTTCACAGCATAGATGGCATCATGAAGAAAGAACAATATGAAGAAATACTGAAGCAACATCTCAAGACATCAGCCCGGAAATTAAAACTTGGCCACAAATGGTTCTTCCAAAAAGACCATGACCCTAAGCATACTGCCAAATTAGTTACAATGTGCTTTAAGGACAACAGAGGGAATGTTTTAGAGTGGCCATCACAAAGCCCTGATCTCAATCCTATAGAAAATTTGTTGAAAAAGCTTGTGCGAGCAAGACCGCCTACAAATCTGACTCAGTTACACCAGTACTGTCAGGAGGGATGGGCCAAATTTCCTTTAAACTATTGTGAGAAGCTTGTGAAAGGATACTCAAAACATTTGACCAGAGTTATACAGTTTAAAAGCAGAGCTAAAAAAATACCAAGGAAATGTGTGTAAACTTTTGACTTTCTAGGAATTATTCATTCATTCATTTTTTTGTCGGCTTAGTCCCTTTATTAATCCAGATTCGCCACAGCTGAATGAACTGCCAACTTATCCAGCACATTTTTATGCAGCAGATGCCCTTCCAGCTGCAACCCATCTCTGGGAAACTTCCACACACACATTCACACACACACTCATACACTACGGACAATTTAGCTTACCCAGTTCACCTGTATCGCATGTCTTTGGACTGTGGGGGAAACCGGAGCACCCGGAGGAAACCCACGCGAACGCAGGGAGAACATGCAAACTCCACACAGAAACGCCAACTCAGCCAAGGATCGAACCAGTGACCCAGCGACTTTCTTGCTTTGAGGCGACAGCACTACCCTACTGTGCCACTGCGTCACCTGTCTAGGAATTAATAAAAATATATACATTTATTTATTATATATATTTATTCTGGCATTTAGCAAATGTAAATCAGTTAGGCAATCCTAACAGACCTAAAATAGTAAACATTTAATATGATTTACCATCAGACATTTAAAAAAAATAGTTATGTTCCTTTTTGAATGTATGTAAACTTCTGGTTTCAACTGTATGTGTTTGTAATCTGTACTTAAGCAGCATCAGCTGTGTGTTTGCAATCAGTCAGGATCAAAAACTGGTTGTGTGTGTGTGTGTGTGTATGTGATGCATGACTGGGTCTTGTAGTCCATAAATGGTGGATTTGTAGTCCAGTGATATGCAGCCGCCAGGTGACCATAACAACAACTGTGCTACATAAATAAACAAAAACATTAATATAAACACGTAGGGCAACACGGTGGCTCAGTGGTTAGCACAAACGCCTCACAGCAAGAAAGCCTCTGGTTCGAGCCTCGGCTGGGCCAGTTGGCATCTCTGTGGGGAGTTTGCATGTTCTCCCCGTGTTGGCGTGGGTTTCCTCCGGGTGCTCTGGTTTCCCCCACAGTCCAAACACAAATTGGCCATAGTGTGTGAATGTGTGTGAATGAGTGTGTATGGGTGTTTCCCTGTATTGTGTTGTGGCTGGAAGGGCATCCGCTGCATAAAACATATGCTGAAATAGTTGGCGGTTCATTCCGCTGTGGCGACCCTGATAAATAAGAGACTTAGCTGGAGGAAAATGAATATGAATGGTGTGTCCCAATTAAAGTCTTTTTCTTAACAGAAGCATCTCAGAATCTCATCAATTCACTGATGTCCTGAAATAAACAGGATCTAAATGAGAATGAGAAGCGCTTAATGTCTTTCCATGTGGCGCTTATAAAACAGGAAATCATGCAGCGGATGGCATTTATGGGTGTGTTTTTGTCAGATGTGTGCGAATGCTTTTGATGGAGGTCTTAATTTTATTTTCTCTGGTTTGTTCTTCTGAGCTGCTGAAGGTCTGCAGGGCTGAGATGAGTTTCTGTCAATGATCTTAAAATGGACACCTTCCTGAGATTGTTAAAGGAGCAAGAACAGCTGGTGAAACTTCTGTCTTTTGTGCTTGATTCCTTCAGACACGATGACCTGAAGGAGATGCTGGACAGTAATAAAGACTCCCTGAAGCTGGAGGCCATGAAACGCATCGTAGCGGTGAGTAAAACTTGATTGCACTGCATCGCAAATTTATTTTTTTTATGTTTTCCACTATGATTTTGAATGCTTTATGATGTTTTTCAGTATCTAAAATATCCTCAAATTCCTGAATTAAGACTTATTTATCAGAAATTATTCATATATATTTATACAGGTGAAGTTATATATATATATATATATATATATATATATATATATATATATATATATATATATATATATATATATATATATATATG